TTGTTTAAACTCCTGCTCTCTTTGTTGCACAAAGAATAATTTATCTAATGGCGTAATTAACTTTCGTCCTAAAAATAATTCTGCTGGAGTTTTTCCCGTAGTATCATGATTTGCCGTTCTTAAAGCATAAGCTAATTCATTTATGTAGCCATCCCAGCGCTGTGTGATGTGTGCTCACGTAACTTGCGAATTATTTTTACTATATTTTATTAACTCTTTCTGCTATGTTAGCCTGTGGTCTATACGGAACCATTTGATATGGCGTATGCCAAGTCCATTGCATATGTTTTCAAATATTTGGACTAATGAATTGTTTTCCGTTATCGCTAATGACTTTTATCGGTGCACCGTATTTTAAAATGTATCTGTGTAAGAATGCATCTGCGACTGTTTTGGCTGACGCGCGTTTAAGTGGAACAATTTCTGTCCATTTTGAAAAATGATCTACTATTACTAAAAAAAAACGATTTTTATTTAACTCGCTCTGGGGGAAGGGACCAAGAAGATCTATGCCTAAAATTTCATTCGGAAATGTAGCGCGAATGCTATTTAAGTACCCGGCCGGCTGTAATTAATATCATTTATTAACTGACATTGATTGCAGGACCTGACTACGCAGTTACTATTTTGTATAATTGCGGGAAATATACCGCCTCGCGTACCCTTTTTAAAGTCTTTCTGACCCCTAATGACCCGCTTTTTGCTTCGTGCAATTCCTTCAAAATGCTTAATCGAAGCGAGGCTGGGATGACTGGTTTATACTCGAAGATTTTCGTTTGTTGCTTTCGTATAAAATAATAAATTATCTATTATTTCATAGTTTTCTGCTCTATTTCTTATTGCATCGATATCTGTGTGTTCAAAGCTTTCGGGGTCTTTCAAATACGCATAGATACTTCCAAATTCAGGATCAGCTTTCAATTCAGCAATAATTGTTTCTCTAGAACCTAAAATTTTTCAAAAATTTTAGATTCTAGAGAAACAAATAGTCAACACAGCGCATTTGAGTTCATTTGCCTTCTTCGTCCAATTTTATTACGAGATAGTGCGTCAGCTACATTGTTTTCCTTACCCGGTTTATATTTTATTGTGATATTATATTCTTGGAGTTTTAAAGCCCATCTTATTAACCTGGGCGTTAGGTTTTTCCCCGAGTAAAGTCTACCAACAGCCGCATGATCCGAAAAGACTGTTACTGGCGATTTGCCGAAATAAACTCGAAATTTGTGTACAGCCATTAATACGGCTAATGTTTCTCTTTCTGTAGCTGTATAATTCCTTTGTGTCTGATTCAACGTTTTACTAAAAAATGCCAGAGGATGGTTATTTTGCATAAGAACCGCCCCACCGCATAGTCTGACGCATCTGCTGCAATTTCCAGGTTTTCGTCCCCCTCCGGGAATTTTAAAACAGGGGCATTAATTAGCGCTTCTTTTAATCTTTCAAATGCTGTGTTAGCTTCCGCTGTCCACGTAAATTTACCCCTTTTTCTTTTGATTACTAAGAGTGGTTCAACAATATTAGCGAAATCTTTTATGAAAGATCGATAGTAAGAACATAACCCAAGGAAAGAAGAAAGTTTCTTGGCGGTGTTGGGCGGTGGGAAATTCTTAATAGCTTTTATTTTTGAATCTTGCGTTTCTATACCCTTTTGCGAAATTTTATAACCGAGATATTTAAGTTCTTTAGTTGCGAACTTGCATTTTGTTAATTGTAAGCGGCCTCTTTTAATTTAAAAACTTGTTCTAGATCATTAATGTGTTGTTCCAACGTACTACTCGTTATAATTATATCATCTAGATAAATTAAAGTTGATTTTCCTAGGACAGGCTTTAGAACAATGTCCATAGCTTCTCTGGAATGTTGATGGGGCCCCACACAACCCAAAAGGCATGCGTAAAAATGCATAAGTGCCCGATTTTGTTATAAACGCGGTTTTATGTATATCTTCGGTCTCATAGCTATTTGATAGTAGCCAGACGTTAAGTCCAAAGTAGACATATATCTTGTCGATTTGATCTTCTAATGATCTCTCTATACCGCAAAGGGTAAACTGGGAAATTTAGTAATACTATTTAGTTTTCTGTAATCATAGCAAACCTCCAAGCCCTTTTATCCGAAGGAGGAAACTCGTTCTTTTTCCTACATAGTACGACTGGACTCGCGTACTCACTATTTATGGGCGTTATTATTTTATTCTTTAACATCTCCTGAATATGTTTTCTTCGATGATTACGTCTTTTTTTTGTCATATACCGATAAGGTTTAGTCCTACAGGGTTTTTCGGCATTTAATTGAATCTTGTGCGTAACTATTTGGCAGTTTCCTGGTTTTTCTGAAAATAAATGAAAAAGTACTCACCACTTGCTGTATTGCTTTACTTTCATGGTCATTCAATGGCTAAGGTCCACTTGCGGTGTCTCCACAGGTTCCACCACCCTCTGGTCCATCTCCAACACCACGGAACTATCTTGAAAATTTAATTTGGCCCTCGCGGCCCTTAAAACTCCATACCTAAAATAAGAGAGTTTTGCAAGGTCTTTCACTACAAAATTAATACTTTGAGACTTTCCTCTTTTACCTGTAAGTTTAATGATAATTTCCCGATGCAGTGACATGTTTTTCCTTGCGCCGCTATAATTTCCGTATTTTTGGTTTTAAATAATCGTACCCTATAAAAATTCCTTTTGAAGAAATTTTCACTCATAAAATTTCCTTCTGCTCCTGTATCGATGAGGCTTCTACTGGTACATCGCCAACCAGGACTTGTATAATTGGTAGCTGTGAGTTTTTTACGATGACCGTATTTAAATGTCTATTTGAGGGTTTTTTTTAAACTTCCGGGGTCTGGACCCTCCCTTTCACAGGCCCCTCTACTCGTTTAAAGCTTTCCTTTCAATCTGTGTCTTCTGGGTACGCGGATGTTTATTTTCAAATTTTCTTTTTGGGCCTTGAACTTCGAGTTTCGATGAGTTAGCTTGATAGCTCTTTCCCCCATAAGAGCGATTTCCATTTCTGGTTTCCTCATTTGAAGATTTCCTTCGGGTACTTTGAGAATATGTTTCCCCTCTCGCTTTTTCCGCTATTCTGCGATTTTGAAACTTCACCGCCAATTCGAAGAGCTCCTGCAATGTGCTTGGGTTTCTAATTTCAAAGTAGTCTTTGACAGCGGGTAACAATCTTGGTAAGATTATTTCAATAATCTCCGCATCGGGTTTCTTTCCATACAGCATATCCGTTAGCTTGATTTTTCGTAGAATAAAGTCCGTCAATTCTGCTATATCCCGTTGATAGAAACTATATAGTTCGGCTTCCAGCCGTTGCGCGATCTTTCACTATGGGAAGGCCTTTAATAACGATTTTTTGAAATTTTCAAATGTATATGTTTGGCCTTCCAAATTCCCCTAATAAAAATTTGCCTATATTTTCCACCATAGCGCGGCCTGTCCTCTTAGTGCTGATGTGGCGATGGCAACTTTTTGTCTTTCAGGAACAGGGTAGAGCTGGAAAGTGGTTTTCTAGACCTTCTAGAAATACCGCCACCGAATTTTTTCCGTCGAAATGGACGTTTGGCTTGATTGACGCTCTCAAAGTCTGGACCAGGTATCCAAATCCTTCTAACTGAGTTGTCATTTCTTGGTGGAGTTGTCCAGCGGCTTCCATCCAATTTTCGGCCATTTCAGTTCGATAAGTGTTCGGGCGCCAATGTAACGTTGCGCGCCTCCAACTTGCACGCAACCAAGTAGGTGACTGTGAAAACTGGATAAATACAGATTCTTGTGAAGGGTTTAAGTCCCTTTTTATTCAACGTAGAAATTACAATTGCGTTGCTCTTGACGCTCACAAGACTGCGCCAACCTCGGCGGTCAAATAAAAATAATAAACCTGAAAAGAAACTAAAGACAAGACTCTAACTACGAGGCTCTCTAAAATAACTAACTCACCGCTTTTACAATACCGCTGCTAATTCAGCAGACTGAAGCTCACTTGAACGATTAACAATACTTCCCGCCAAGCACATAGGCCGAAAACGCGGGGTTTCTTCAAATTCTCGCTAACTACCTCCGCGCTCGTGAAGTAAGAATATCACACCCCGAACTCGTTTCCTTCCTATTTAAATTATAATACTTCCGCTGATAATTTGAATCCTTGCGCGTTCTACTAAAATTTACATATTCTGGCATTGGCAGTTCCAGGGGAAAGTAAGGCTTGACAGGAAAGATAGTTTAAACTTAAAATAAATGTTAGTTAAAATAAATATAAACCCTACAAGGTTTACTATAGCATTCGCTCTTTCCATGTACACTAAACATTTATTTAAAACATATAACTACTTTCCCATGTGTATGTTCAAATGAACGTGTATTTAAAAGCGTCCACAAAAATATTTAACCTTATTTACTGATCTGCGGGATACAGTCATTAGAGTTGCGCATAAATACTTAACTGCATCAGTTAAAAATTAAAATAAGGACGACAAGCTTTACTATTCTGATGCTTCAGCAGACATATATCTACCGAAGAAAATGCAAGAATACAACTTTCAGCAAACATATTTTCATAAATATATCAACATACATATTTCCGTTGGAGTTTTTCTTGCTGCATAAAACATCTCTCTCCAAAAGTTACTCCCAAATATATTTTCGCAAACAAAGAACTATTCAGGCAGATTAAGTATAGGAGAATAAGGCAGAACGCTGGATTTGAGTTGGCTCAGATTTCAGCTCTGCTTGGAATTTATTGAAATGGTATGAATGATACACATTAAATTTAATAAATGTTAATTTATATAATCTTCATAGTGGAACAAATCAAAACTGAAATTTTTTTATTCACTGTAATAGTTCGAGAACTTATTTCATGGGAAGTTACTATAAGAAAGGTAATGAAAAGACATCTGGAGAAAGTATTATTATTTCTTATAATACCTATAATATTTTGTAAAATTTTATTTAATCTTTTTAACGATTTCATATTTCATGCTTCTCATTTTTCAGCCACCTGTAGGCATAGGTTGTCCTCTTAGAAAGTCAACAAAGTCCATGCCAGAAATGCCTAAAATATTCAGATATTCGGCAGAAGTTTTCGATGTTGTGAAAGCGAAAGATACAGAAATAAACGACATCGAATATCAGCAGGTAAATAAATCTCTCTCTCTATATATATATCTCTCTATATCTGTAGCTAGCTTTGTTAAATTGCTGCCGTTAATTTAAACTATATATTTAAAAATAATTATGCCCGTAATCGGAAGGAAAAGGGAAAAAAAAAAAAAATGAAACAATTTCATTTGATATTTTATCACTGCTAATATACCTCCAAATTTATGACTTCTTATTCTTCAAAAAAAAAAAAAAAAAAAAAAACTTGCATGTAATGTTTACATGAAAGCCATATAAAATTGCATTGATCTAGTATTTTCCATAGCTGAATAAATCGATTAATTATTTATTTCAAAATCAACCATATATTTTGTGTGTACGGAATTTGAGTGTCCTGATTCTATCTTGAAATTAACTCTGAAGTCGCCTGAACTGTGAGATGGAATTCCAATTTTAATTATTTTTTTTTTTTTTTTTTTTTTTTTTTTTTTTTTTACTTTCTTGTACGAAGTAAAGAAAGTATTGTAATCGCGAAAAATGTCAGGTATTATACTTCCACCAAAATAACCATTTTGACCGCTCTCGAATCCATTTGAACGATATTTTTGCATGACATCTGTGCGAACAGATTAAAAGACTCTTTTTTCCAAAACAGGTTGTAAAATGGATTTCAAATGGATTTAGTAGAGATTTTTACGTGAAGTCCATACTAAGTACATATGTATCTCGCATAACTCAAAAATGAGTAGTCGTAGAACGTTGAAATTTTGCATACGGGACTGCTGAAACATGGTATTGTGCACCACTCTTTTTCGCTGCAATTGGCCGCACCAAACCTATGCAAACAGATACATATTCAAATATATATATTCCCACTTTGTTTCCTTAAAAAAAAGTGATTAAGTTATGGTATCCTTATGTTCGATTTTTATCCGCATATCTTTATGTTCCTAAGGTTTTTAAATTAGTTAATCTGCATGCAATAGCTGTAAAATTATCAACGATTTAATAGTTTATGTGGTACTGCTAAGCCTAACGAATCCGCCATTTGTTTGCATTTGAAACTCTTAGTAGAATAGCGAATTGCGTCAGTTGGTGCACTGACTTCGGTGCCTTTTTGCCTAGTGTGACCAAAAGTTAACTTTAAATTTTGTGTACCGAAAATTTTGTCTTTCTGCCCGCTGGCCAAATTGCTTGTTTTTGCGTAGAAACTGTAAAAATTGCTTTTTTAAATGCTTTTAACTACATGTGCTGCTTTATGTTTTTTCTATATTTTACGATTTTTAATGAAGATTAAGATTTTATGTATTTTTGCCTTGCCGCGAATTGACAACTGAATTGATTGAATTAGAAACATATCTCTAATGAAATTCGAGGAAATACGTTTATTTTCCCTTGATATAGTGAAAATTTTGAACTATTCTATATCAGATAGTATATGACGTTAGAAATGTCTTTTATCAATTACATGAACGTATTTTACTTTATATCAATCTCTGTTACTAATTAATGAAGGATTCTACATGTATGTTTCTTCCTTGCATTTTGGAAAAACGGTGGCGTCTGGAGACACCAAATATTGTACTGACGTAGTTCTTCACCCAAACAATGTGTATTTCGAAGCCTGCATTTCGAATTTCGAAATAGTTTCTTTGTTTATACCATATAGTCCCTTATTATGCTTTCCTCATACTTCCTGAGAGAACCTATGTCATTCGAACTTATTTAAAATTAATTATTATTCGAAAAACAAATTGCTAATGGAAATTTAACATAATTAAAAATAAAATGTTACTAACCTTAATCTGGGATTAAAAACATTACAGACAGATTAAATATGAAAAAATAATATCTTACGTTTTTCCAAATGGCAACAGACTCAAATGAAAAGTGAAACAACCCAGAATCGTGTTTCGAGATTAATAGTCCTTTTTTACTTCCTTGTACGAGGTAAAAAGGAAGTATTGTTGCGTGCGTAACGGGTTCGTTTGAATTGAATGCACAAGTCCGATGAAAAATGAACAAATTTATTATTATCACGACAAAAATGCTTAAATTTCCTCAAATATTCGTGCAGTATTACAATATATCACAGCAGTTATCTTTTAACTACTCAAACATTCAAGCGAACTTAATTCAAAATATCTAGAGAAAGCTAAAAGCAACAACAAACAAACTAAAATCACCCGAACTGAGAGGTTTTCCTCCTTTTATAAGATTTTAAATCGCGCCCGAGAATTTTCTGGAACTTTCTCGAAACCAAAAAGAGATATTTATTTATTAATTCTACTATCATTAACTAATTAAATATACCAAATCCGTAACACTACTGTAATCGCGAAAAGTTCCAGGCGTCATATTTAAACGAAAATATCTATTTTGACCGCTATCGAATGCAATTTAACGATGTTTTTGCGTGATATCTGTACGTAAGGACAGAATAAAATGCTAATTCCCCCCCCAAAAAAAATTATAAAACTGGTTCAAGATGAATTCTGAAGAGAATTTTTCTTGGCGTCTGTACGTACGTACGTATCTCGCATAACTAAAAAACTAGTAGCCTCGGAATGTTGAAATTCTGTATATAGGACTGCTATAACATGTAGATCTGCACCTCGTATTTTGGTTGCAATCGGCCGCACCAAACGTATATAAATATTCGTATATATATATCCACTCTGTTACCCGGCTCAGAGATTTCAATTTCTGTACTCTTATATGTTTGTAAGTTGTGCATTTTTTGCTTTAAAAATGATTGAATTATGTTGTTCTTATCTTCCGGTTAAGGTTTTTATGCCTTTAGTAAATCTGCATGCAATTTTTGTGAAATTTTCAAGAATTTAAAAGTTGTTTAAGTGTAGCTAAGCCTAATTCTTTTTGCGATGGCGGACATGTTTGTTTGCATTTTAAACTTGACAAAATAGCGGATTTGTTGCCAATCTAGAGAGAAACTAAGCTTCTCAAAAACAACCATACGCCTTCTTTTATTATTGTGAATTAAGTCATGTTTAATCCATTCTGGAATTTGTTCGAGGAAATGTGTTTAAGATTTACTTCGTAAATTTCAATATAGATATTTTTTAGTTTTTATGTATTTTTGCCTTATGGGTGAGTGAGAACTGAATAATTGAATGAGAAATACTTAATCGTCTGAGAAAAACTGTTTCTTTCTTTTTTTCTTTTCTTTTTTTTTTTTTTTTTTTTTTTTGTTTTTTTGTTTTGTTTGCTTAATTTCTTTTATACATCGTTTTAAATTTATTATAGTATTTGAATAGAACATGTGGCAACGATTAGATAATTCTTCAAATGATATAAATTTGCATATGCATTCTGAGTTATAATATGAAAGAAATATAACGCTGTTAAGTGAACCTAGCGCCAAAGAGTGCATTTATTGTATTGTGGTTTATGCGCTATCGACGAAGTAGATTTAATTCAATCCGATAAAGTTTAAATGAAATGCAAGAAAAAATGTATATGATTTAATATTTCGTACAAGGAAGTCATGTGGTATACACATTAGACTTTTTGCTAAAAAAAGAAGAAACAGATATTTTATTATTAATTTGTATGTTATGTTTTGAAGTTTCCAACTTCGCATTGATAAAATAGAATTTAAAAAAAAAATAATTTAGTTTGGATTAACTAAATAATAAAAAAAAATATTCTGAAGGGTAACATTCCAGACAAAATTATGAAAGTTGATCGCCAAGTGCTACAAAATGAAATTTGATCAACCTGCGAGATTTATGGCAGGAAAATATTTTTAAAAGAAAATTTTTAATTTGCCAATATTTCTACTTCAGGCAAACATTACTGCCAAATAGCTATTCTGTGACCTTCATAGATCAGCAGCTCATTTCATGTATAAAGTTTGCCCACTTTGTCATTCTTTCTCATATTTCGTAGCATATGTCTTTTAAATTTTGCATCTAGTGTAACAAAGCATGTATTTAGTTTTTATCGTTTAATTTATTTGGTTTATTACTTTATTCTTTTGAATTGCTTTCTTTGTATATTTTAGGTCTGGTACGACAGTGTTAACAAATTAGGCAGACATGACAAGTACACAAGAATGATGTTTACGTCTGAATTGTATGATTTCAATACTGGTAAGTAGAAAAAACGTCCTTTGGATGCATACCGAGGAACCATAGCTTTTCATTCAAATTCTCTGTGCAAAACCTGTATGTGCTTCTTTAGTGTTATCACGTTTCAACAACATCATTCTAGTTCAAAACCTAGACAGTGAAGAAAACAATAAATATAACAAGAATTTTGCCATCTAATGGTGGAATTGGGCAAATGAGTTTCAAAACCATTTTTTGTCATGGAATTTTATTTTTAATTTAATTTTTCAACAAGTAAGTTTATGATGCTAAGCATTATTATGAAGTTATTATAATCATGTCGCATATCCTTCATTGAAGTGGAACACAAGGTTTTTGATAATCTCTATGAATATCTATGCGAGGTAGGTATTAAATTTAGAAGATATTATCTTTTGTCCGCTTAACAAATTAATTCCTTAAATAAATAGTTTCAGATTTTTTCTTCATTACTGTTTCTATATGAAGCATGCATTCCGTAATCTCGCTCGCGTTCTTGCGGAATGTATTTGGTAACATGGTAAAGAGTCTTCAGGTCCGTAAACATTTCGAATATCTGCCATTCCATTCAAAAGATTCATCAGTGCATTCAGTAACCTCGTTGGCCTTTTTCAGAAAGGTTTTTGGTAACATGATAAAAGATGTCTATAGCTGTCTTCAGGATCAGTGTGTACATATTTCTAATATGTGCTATCCAGTTTTGATAGATTCACTAGTGTATTCAACAAATCTCACCATCTCTCTTTAGAAAGGTCTTAGATAACATCATAAAGCATTTCCAAACCTATCTTTAGTTCCTTAGATATTTTCTATATCACTCATCTATGTTCAACAGATTCATAAATGCATTCAACAGATCTCTCCAACCGTCTGTTGGTTTTCGATAAGATCGTAAGTGTTGTCCAAGGCTGCCTTCCGATATGTAGATATATTCAGTATTTGCTGTAGGAGGAGCTGCAATGTGTAAAAGTAGTTTGCTGCATAGCAATTTTGGAGAACACCGTAGTTATGCATCAAACATCAAATAGTTATTTACTTTACTGACGTAAGTATTTGTTACTTACGTCAAAACTGATTTGAAATAATTGCAATTGGAAGTCAACCTGCAAATTTTAGCTGTCAAGTATGTCATTCAAGCATCTTTTTACTTAACTAACAAGATTTAAAAGAGAAAGTTTCTACAAGACATTTATATATTCTTTCGATATATAATGTCTTCATTTACAGTTTATACAATATTTTTGATATATTACTCACTCACATTTAGTTAACCATTTAGTCAGGAATGCAACAGGTATAGAATATAAAAGAAGCATTGCATTCTCTAACTACTTAAAATCGATTCTTGAAAATAATTAAATAAATACTTTGTTCATTTTAAGGTTATATTCAAAGTTAATTATTATTTAAAAAGTTTAAAATGCTTAATGTAGTTTCAAAATTAATTTGTCTATTTATCTCTGATAATGATAGATGCCGTATATTCTTATTTTTGATACCTATTTAAAGGTTAAAATATGAAATTGTGATCTCTAGGTGTAACCTACAGTGTAGCGAATTTCCAATCATGTACTATAAAGCCACTTCGAAAGTCAATGTTTGAAGGTCATGAAGGAAAGTTAGTTGGTCATCTAAAGGAACCAGGAGAAGTGCTGAAGTTAGATGGAAGCTTTTACTACATGGGCGAGGTAGGTTGAGATTTATTACCCTAAGGCTATATCTGGCTATATTTCTCAGCTGAACACAAAAGTTTCTTTACATACACTGATTCGTTTGTGTTTTAACTCTTTAAACTGAAAAAGGTTTTATATTTCTTTTCATGTAAATTCAGCTCTACAAGGAGTTTACATGATTTTAAGATTGCAAAGATGCGTTCTTTCCTAGGAGTTCAAAAAGTTATCATTACATTATGTTTTACAATTTAAACGATACTAAAAATACAGGATTATTACAAAGGGTTATTATTAATTTATAGAAGTGCTAGATATTATCAGTAGCTTTCTATTAAAATGCACAAAACGTTTGCAAGTTTATTAAATAATGTAACAAATGTTTTTAGGTGTGTACCATTAGTGACATGGTACATTCTAGTTCTTGGCAAACCAGACTTAAGGCCTCTCATTCAAGTACTGCAATGACTGTAGTTTCCATGGAATGAATGTTAACACTTTCTGCAAAATTATCTGAGATAGAAGCTCAATATTCGCCCTTATAAATTGAATTCCTTGGACTTTAATGGAAACGACTGTGAACACATTCAGCTGGTTCATCAGATGAGAAGCAGCGACCATTAAATCAAAGCAGAGTGAAACTCTCGCTTATGAATTTATTTCTTTTCTGAAGATAGTTTATAAGGTATTTCTCCCGCCTTCTTGGCATGCCTTTGTGGTGTGGTGGTCTGAACGCTGGGCACGTATTCCAGGGGTCCGCGGTTCGATTTCCTGCCAAGGCGTTGCTCATTTTTTCATCTTGCCTACTTCCAAAAATACCTAATGTCTCTACAAGTTCACCACCCAGAATATTCGTAAATCGAAGCAATTTTCCCCATAGTATTTAATGAAAAATGAATCTATTTGTTTCTGGATAAAAAATGATTGCACAGATAAACTTTACTTTGTATTTAACGTAAAACTGATGAAATTCATTAAATTCAACGTATACAAAATATTTAACACAATACTAAACATGTAAAAAATAGGGCAATTTGGATTACATTTTACTGTCTCTACGAAGGAAAGTTGACGGTCTCAGTAGAAAAGGATGAAGAAGTAAAAATATTATTGTCTGAAAGGAAATTACTATTCCGTAAAAGTATAAGACAGTTGTTGTCGTTTTGGGTGCTTTTCTTTCTCTCAACAACGCTCGCGTCTACTTCAGAATCACTGGAATCTGTCTTCCACTGAAAATGTGTTCACTGTCATTTGTTCCTATCTACGTTTTAAAACGTTCCTGACGAGCAAATATTTATGCTTCTGGCTATTGCAGCTTTATCAAGGTGACAATTTTCTATAAACCCTTGCACCTTACCCAATTCGGCACACATTTCGTGGATTAAATCACTAAAAAAAAACCTTCTTTCTTCTTTTTTTTTTAAAGCATTTTTTCCACGTTACCTGTATTTTGGAGTATTGTTTGTTTCCCTCTTAACTTATTCGTATCTCGAGGCTTCATTCGTCATCGAAGATATTTTTCTTTTGAAATATTTGTTCGTTAATCGATTTGTTCGGAATGCAAGGCTTCCCTGTACTAATTACTTCCAATAATTCAAAACTTTACTCTACAAATCTGCCTCTCAGTAACTCTTTTTGCAACACAAACAAAAGTAAGCTTACTACAAAATAGCAAAGCATTTCAAACAAGAAAGTATGAAACAAAGGTAACACATATTCATATATATACATTCATACACTTATACATGTTGTACTCTATACAAAAAGGCAAATAATAATAATGCTTTATATTTCGTGCCTTTGACTACCCCTTGAAATTTGTATAGGGCCATATATTTATATCTATTATCGCACATTATATATAATATCACTACACATCTGTTCGTGATGAGATTTAAATAGGTAACCATACTTCGCCCTTTGGCGCACATTTGGCGACTTAAGCCCCATTAGCAGAAAGGAACCGTTACTATCTCTAACCTTCCCACCAGCGTGCAAACCTCTCCATCAACGGCCGAATGATAAGGTCCCTGAAAACTCGTAGTTCGTTCTGGAGTTCGAGTTCCAGCGAATGAAAAGCGTTATGGACGCTTTTGTGGTTTTCCCCATGTGTAACGTATATACAAGCCAGTTCTCCTTAGAAAGGCCTATACGAAAGCATCCTTCCCCTTAGGCAAATACCCACAAGTGCTTTGCCATAATTAAATAAACCAAACCAAACGGCAGTCCAGGTTTAGCCTCTAAAGCGATGGTAGGCGTTGCTTGATGTGGAGAGAATCTGGAGCCTGCTATCATCCATAAAACATCCGTGAAAGAGATGCATACGGAGAAGGAAGTGTCTCTGTTTGGGGTGGTATCTCTTTGGGTGGATGCACAGACCACCATGTTTCTTCCACATGCTGTAAATGCTCAGGAAATAACATCCTTGATTGCTTGTGTGTGCCTTTATGACAGGGTAATAGGTTATGATTTTCTGCTACATAACGACAACTCTAGACAGTGCAAGGCTCGCATCGTGAATGATTATCTTCAGAGCAAACAATTTAGAGTATGAAGTGGCCAGCTCGATCACCGAACCTGCATCTCATTGAGCATGTTTGGGTTGCTTTAGGAAGACGTATAACTGCTCTCAATCCTCCTTTTTAGCCATGGTTGCAATTGCTTTGTAAGAGCTATGACTCTCATTTCCTACGGAACAGATAGAACGTATAGTTGACACCATCACACATCACTCTATGTGTTGTATTGCTTCTAAGGCAGATCAAACTCCATATTGAAGGTACTGTTCCTATACCAAACTGACACATCCGATTTGTTCATTTTATACATATGCTAATTTCTATAACACCATAATTGCCTGGGAATTTTTTTTCATGTTATTTTATACTTTACTATGTGTTATATACTGCGGATCAGTTTCATTGATTTTCTACTTGTAACTTTTTGAGTAATCGTCATTTTTTGTGATTTTTCCTTAATTAATGATAACTAGTGTATGAAAGATGAAAGATAATTCATTATAAGTTTCTTTAGAAACTATGTAAAATAATATTCCCACTCATATAGAAATATCATTAATATATACTTTTTATATAATACAGCTTATATATATATACAGTTTATGTATGATTGCGCTTTAATTCTTTGCCTGCAATCGATATAGCGACTTAATTCTCAGACGTAAGCCCTGATTTCATAAAATAATTTAAAACTTAATTTCTTTCTGCTCTGTTATTTATAGTCTAATCATGACTCTTATCTTTTCAGCGATATATCAGAGGAATTAAAGTTGATTCATTTGAAAGTATTCAGAAAGATGTTGTATTCATGGACAAAACGTTAGTAAAATTAGTCATCACAGTATACTTTACTCAGGTAAATATTTTAGCTTGTCAGTTGCTAAAATTAAAATATTGTTTATGAATGTTGCGCTATTGTAAACGAGTTTTGCCTAAATGATAATAAACAACTTGTTTTCTGTCAGCAACATTTTCACTGTGTTGTAGCTCCACTTTCACAAAAATAGCCATTTGCCTTTTCCCTCGAAAACCCAGAATTCGTTTCCTGTTCATGTTAGTAATGATAAATAACTACTGCTATTAGTAAAAGAAATCTTTAAATGCATTTTATGTAGTCTTTCTAAAATAAGTTTAACCTTGGCGAAATTCAAAAATATTCGCCAAGGTGATGGGCCGAGAGAAAGAAACATTTTCAAAATAACGTCATCAAGTAATAATCAATCAATAAGTAATCAGTAAGTAACAATCAGTAAGTATCAAATGTAATTTTAAAGTTTTTTTCTCTGTCCTAAATCTGTAAATAATTTGAATGCTTTACGAAATTACGTGTTCATCAAAAGCACCGTGGACGGAAATATTGTCGTACAAAATATAGCGGAAGAAAAGAAAGCAAACAGAAAACTTTGCAGACTTGAAAACACTGCTGTTCACACACACAAAAAAGCGGTTAAAAAAGTTCGCAAATTTAAAACATTATCATAGACAATATCGTGGTAAAAATTAAGCACCTTACAAATCATCGCAGGTTCGCAGACATGTGTTTCCACTTTCAAATGCATATTCACATAATGATTTGTGAAGGCAAGATGGAAAGAGGAATATTTTTACCTCTCTATTTCATATTTTTGAATTAATTAATAAATTTTTGCTGAAAATGCAAGAAGGAAACTTCATTTAAAAGTTGAAAATGAGTCGAAATGATTATTAAGGTTATTATTTAATTAAACTGTTTTATAAACTTTTAATACTACTTTTTCACGAAAACAATTTTAAATATGAAATATAAAGGTAACACTATTCCTCATTCCTTCTTGGGATCACAAATCATTATGCCAATATGCATTTGAAACTTTTAGTCTCGAAACACATGTTTGCGATGATTTATAGGTGCTTTATTTTTCCCCACTACATTTTCAACGACGATGATTTAAATCTACGAAGTTTTGAGCGCTTTTTATTACAATGGGGATTTGTAGCATGATGTTTGAAAGGAGCAATGTTTCCTTTTTGCTTTGTTTTCTTCCCATGATGTTTTGAACGACCATGTTTATCTCTAGTGCTGTTTTCCCCGCAAAGTTTTCATTCGCAACGTTTTTGCCTGTAAAGTTTCTTGCCCCATATCAATACCATGAAGCAAAAATAAAATAAGTTTGAAACTTATCGGTGAAAAAATTATCGAAATTCTAGTTTTTTAAGGCCATACAATTCTTCATGCTGCATGTCATTTTTACAGACGGCATTTGATCTGATTAGTCGTTCATCCATACACTATTCCAGAACATTTCTTAGACTTTTACTTCCTGCATCCCAAAAAAGTCTCAAATTCAACTTACCAATGAACGCTAATTTACCCAATAACTAGCGCAACCGAACACTATGAAGAAGTGGACGCCATTTTGCTTTAGAAACAGCGACGTTGAGAATCATTTTCAGTTAAGGAAAGAATCTGCTGAGGTTTTTTGATTCTATAAGGAAAGACGATTTATTCAGTGGTTGCGGAATCTGAAAAATTATTCTATTATTTAATCAAAAATTCTTTTAGATATGTTTTCTTCAGTAATGGAAGAAACGGATGATATTTTAAAATTATTCTATTATGTAATCAAAAATTCTTTTAGATATGTTTTCTTCAGTAATGGAAGAAACGGATGATATTTTAACCCTTGCTGTACCTACATCAAGACGCGCGTTCCAAAAAGTATCGAATTTAATCTACACTTCATATTAAACTTCCAGACATTAGCTCAAATTAACATCGCGTGAGAACGAGGTGTGTGAAAATATTTTGAATGAGGCGGCAAATGAAAGCTTGACTGTGAAATTGGCATTGTGATATAGCATCGGATCAAAATAGGAAATAGTCGTATCTGATGTTTATCGTATTAATCGTATTCTGAAATTGAGCCTAACTTCACGGAGCTTCGCTTTCTAAAATAGGCTTCAAACAATTATAACATTGCTATGCTTCTAAATCCTAAATTTCAGCAATATTTAAGCCTACAGCAGGAGAAAATGATCAGATGATTAAGTTTAAAAAAAAATGCAGTAAAGAATTCATATAGAGGAAAGTACATCTTATCTGAACTTTCGGGAACTCTTCATAAAGGTTATGTTTACTATTTTTAAACTACTTTTCTTTGGATCCGAAAAGGGATTGCAGACTCTCTTGAAATGCTGCTACCTACTGCTTTGCTTCAGTACTTTTTCTCGACTCTTCTGAGATGGTTCGGATACCGAAGAGTTTGCATTTAAAATTTTAAACAAGTTTAAACTTTTTTTTTAAAATACAAAATGTGAAAAAATAAAAAATAAAAAATAGGCGATTCTATGCCAGTTACCTAACGTATGTCTTTAGAAACATGTTTCATAATTTAGACCAAAAACAATAAAAACAATTTAGCATATTATAAATTAAATGTATTTTAAATTGCATTAATTAAACACACTGGTAAAAAAGCGAAACAAAAATTTACCTTATACAAATTGATTAAATTTGGAAGATCAAATAAAGATCTTAGCTTTCGTGCTGTAGAACTGTGGAAACAGCTGATAGTGTCTGTTTCCAGATTATATCTTTCTCGTTCATGCATTTTACGTAATTATGTCTAAGGATTTTATTTTACAAGATAATATTTGGCATCTCGGTATACGCCATTATCTCATTCCAGATACGGATACTAAACAAACGTTTCCATTAAGAACGAGAAAATAATTAATCTGTTCTTATAAAAAATCGTACTGTTATTACAACACTGATTAATACTAGAAATGCAAATGCAGTGCATGAAATCTGAACTTCACACAAAAAAAGCATTGCTTTTAATACTATACATATACGTTTTTCTGCTTTCCAGATCAACAGCAATTTTTCAACATCATCTTCGTAATCGATTTCACTCTCTTCGCAACGTTAGCCTATTTAATGACGTCTTTGTTTTTCACATTCGTACTCGGCATACTGCATGCAATAGCCAACTGTCGGATAGGCATGTCATCTTATTACATTTCGATAATCTCTTTTTCACCACTGGTGATCCTAACAATTTTCTCCGTTGACTCTTTTCATTAACTTTCCTAAAACTCATTATTAATGAATTTACTTTATGTTTACGCAAAAAACACAAAATCAGTTTAAAGTTCAGAGTTATAGCGGGTCCTGTGTGCTGAATAGTAGTAACAGGTGTACTGACGCTCATGGGTAGTCATAGCATTGTACACAAAAGAATAAATCAAAAGCTAATTGTACAGTCATGATTCATCGACTTCGAGTCGTATCCCAAACAAAAACGTTCGCTTTCAAACAGGAAATATATTAAATTGGTTATGTTTCAAGCAGATGTTTCCGATGTACCTCTTCATATTATGTTAACTGAAAAGAATTCACCTGCATCGAGATATGAAAAAGTATCAATAGCATAGTATGTCTACAACAACATTAACGTTACAAAAAGAAAAATAGTTAATAATTTCGCCGTTGCCACTTTCAGGTAAACGAATGTTTCAGTAGCCGAGACCTTGACACTTTTAATTTGGACAACATCTGTAGTAAATCCTTTTGTAATTTAAAAATAGTAAATTAAAATAAAAATGCAATATTAGCCCTCCCATTTTATTTGATTTTTATGATAAAATCGATATTCAGTTTTATTAAAGACCTAAGCCAGACTGTGGATAGAGACAGAAATTAAGAAGTTGATAAATAAGTAGAACAAACAAATATTTTCGTTTGAGTACAGCAGCGATATGACGCATGAATTTTCGAGCGATACATTCCTTACGAAATGCTTGTAAACTTATAAAAGTAGCCGCGTGAGTGATATAAAAAGTAAATATAGAAAAAATCTCAATAATTACAATTAATTATGTTTGTAAATATATGAATTTAATTTGCAGTATCGTTCATCTTAGGAATTCATGGAAATAGCAGTGGATGGAGAAGAAGAGTCTAAAATTCCTGTGTACTATGCAGTAAAAGGGTGGGACACTCCAACCAATGTAAGAAATAGTTTCTTGTTTATTTCTTTGTTCATAAATCCATAACTACCGAAATGTATAATCAAAAATAGTATAATGAATTGCTTTATTTTTTTCTGGTTCTATAACTGGCAAGTAAGAAATTTTGATTTACCAATGAATTTAGCATTGAAACATGTTGGGAAGTAAGGTATCTCATAAAACTGTATAATATGTAGATTGTTAGTAAGTTACAAGTAACTAGATTGAACTTTTCGTGGAAATGACATCCGACCTAAGGTCTTGTAAATCAAACTGACGACTTTCTCTCCAAACAGTATTTGTTAAGTCTCTTGGTTAAGTCTCTTGAAGTCTCTCCAAACAGTATTTGTTAAGTCTCTTGGTTAAAAAAAGTGTACACGGGTAGATAAGGCCATAAATGTTACAAGCAGCTACAGGCAGATGAAGCTACAGAAAGAAGAAATTGCAAGTGGCGACAGAACGAAAACTGCATAAAATTCTCAAGTAAACAACTAGTTTTGTTTTATCACATATGTAACTCCCATATATACTGATACACTTAACGTAGGACTCTACAGGGCTCTAAAAAAGCTGCAATCCGAATTCCGCAAGACATTCCTTTGTTGCTCGATCTGCACCAAGGCTGTCCTTCTTATGATTCAAGGCTTCCTTCTGATGACTCAAGGCTGGCCTTCTTATGACAAGACTCTGTATCTGACTATACCACGGTATTTTGGCGAGATGCAGCCTGAAGCTGCAGGTATATGTGCAAGTATAAGTGAGTGGTCGGGACGCATATAAGCAAAATGTACACTGCTAGGGCAACGGCTTGAATTTGGCCAATGACAGTCCAGATGAGGGTCCCATTAACTCCGCCCACATGAGTGACGTCATATTTCTGACATTTGTTTACATTCTACTGTTCGGAGTTACGGAACGGGGGGGGGAGGGCGCTGTGATCACGTACGATGGAGGCAGGATCTTGGAAGCGCTCCTGAATTTTCAAAGGTGTTTTCCGGAAAATCTTCATTTATTTCAGAAAATTTTCGCGAATATCCTCTGCATTGTCTCGTTCTCAAAGCTGGGAGTTCTCCTGTACCTGGGGGGTCTTGTCTTCCTTGCAATCTTTTGCAGCACTAAGACGGAGCGTTCAGATAAGTAGAACTTCTTTTCTATAAGCTAAATCAAATATCTGTCACTAAAGTACCTTTAAATTCATTCATTTATTATGATCATTATTATTATTATGCTCATTTTATTATGTTTTGGCATTAAATACTTAGTAATTGCTTTAAATCATGTGGTTCGTTTTTGGTTACCATCTCGTAGGAACGCTATCCTTATCAGTAGCCCTTATCAGTAGTGTTAGCCCTACCCATTGGGGCCCCTTTGAGGAATGTCTCGAGAGCTAAAAACACGATCTCGGGCCTCAATGAATGTACAGAGTTGTAGTTTTTGCTCCTTTAATCTATATTTCCTATCTATTTAAATTAAAAGCATATATTAATACAGTGTGCCTCAAATTGATAAAATAGTACACATAATAGACCATTAACTTAAAAATTATTTTGACCATTAACTTAATAAATAAAAAATGCTTATTTAAAAAAAATTAATTAATAATAATAATAAAAAACTCCGTAATTTATTTACTTATTTATTTTTGCTGATAGTTCTCGCCTTGTTTTGGATTTATGATTTTATCTGATGGTGTTTCTGAATATATAAATATGTTGGAAACCGCAATAGATGATGTTACTTAGTTTAATGTATAACTTTGCATGATATTATATGTATCTTGATCTTATGTGTCTTCTGTTACTGTGTCTCAAGGTAGAGGCTAATATTGGTTTCCATGTAAAAAAATAAAAGTTTAAATTTAAAAAAATTTAAATTTTAGTTTCCCTGTTATAGCAAAAGTTAGCTTCTAAACTTGACTTATACTGTTATGTGACTGGACCCCCAAAATTTATTATTTTATTATTAATTTTCCCCATCTTTACCTCTATTCAGCTTTACAAAACAAACTCATTACACACACCTGGAAGACTGTATTTAATGTAAATGATAACAACTTTGACTACACTCATGAACACAATCGTGGTTTTTTTTTTTTTTTTTTTTAACAAAATTTTCTTACTTCCTTTCCTTTTCTTTCAATAGGCCCTTTTTTTTTTAATTATAAATAAATTTTTTTTTTTCCTCTCCATTACTTTTGGGCCATTTATTTTTTACTTTATTTTGTCCCATCTTTTCTTCCTGGCCTTTCGATCTCGTATAAAATATACGAAGTTCCTTTTTACTCTCCTCTGAAATACGAAATTGTCCCCTTTCTATATACCTTTCCTTCGCACCTATGCTTGATTTTTCGCTCATCGGTGCAGAAAGACTTAGCGGGTGCAACGAAAGACATCTGTCTACTTTGTCTGTCTGTTCGGAGTTACGAAGTGCGTTATTTGAATGTACATTTAGTTTTTCGGAATAAAAGTATATATATATGCGTATATATCTGTATATAATGATTTAATGTTTGTTTCGGAATATTAAGGATTATTCTTCTGTTCCAATACAAAATTAGGTCTAGTCAGATGGAAGTTACTGATGGCTGGAAGATACATGTAAAGTGTGGTTTACAAATTATTCTGCATATTGATAATAAGAAACTTTTAAGTGACAATGACTTAAATCATCTACTATATATAAAATGTACCTGCGGGAACTAAACCAAGTAAAGTTAATGTTAAGTTAGTGAATCCAAGTGCTATTTTGTGTCGGTAATTAATGCAGTAAATATTTTGAATCAAAATGCCACCAGTAACTATTGCCAGTAACTATTGACATAGTGTGTGTCAAGAAATCCTTAAAATACATTTCATATATATCTATCTGAATATTTACAACATTAATTGTGCTTTAAGAAATAAATATGCTTTACAGGATTCAATATGCTTTCTTAGAAATAAACTTCATTTCATTATTAGAATGTAAAGAGTACAAAAGATGAAAAAGTGTATCCACTCTAATAAACATATTGAAATGTAATTTAGCTGTGAAACTACTGAAGTTAAATGATGAACATGTTATTTAATAAGAACTGAATATATTTAAGATATGCTACCAGCTTTGATATTTCAAGACTGTTGGATATGCTTATCTATGAAGATTAAATCACTATTTACTGACAAATTATGGTTCTGGTAAAGCATATATCATATTTGGAATCGTAGAAAGGAAGTTCATTGTTTTTCTGAAATGTAAAGAAAATAATACTGAATAACTGTAAGTGCTTAGTGTAATAGACCTACTGAAATCTAATTTAGCTATAAAACTGCAAATGCTAAATGATGCTGAACAAAATTTAGCAAGAACTGAATTTAGTAAGATATGTTACCAGTTATGATATTTCAAGACTATCGAAAATGCCTAACAATGAGGTATCATTACATGTTCTAAGGTGTAACGCTGAATTGAATCCAATAAGTATACTTTTATTTCCAGGAAACATACCTTCAAGTGAATTGCTTCGTGTGTTTATAATTAATCAAATTCAATTTAAAAAAAATCACTATTAACTGACATTATAGTTCTGGTAAAGCATATATACAATATTTGGAATTTTCATTGTTCAGTATGCATTCTTAGAAAGGAACTCATTGTTTTGTTAAAATGTTAAGAAAATAATAGTGAATAACTGTAAGTGCTTAGTGTAATAGACCTACTGAAATCTAATTTAGTTATAAAACTGCAAATGCTAAATGATGCTGAACATAATTTAACAAGAACTGAAGTTAGAAAGATATGTTACCAGTTATGCTATTTCAAGACTATCAGAAATGCCTAATAATGAGGTATCATTACGTGTTCTAAGGTGTAATGTTGAATTGAATCCAATAAGTATACTTTTATTTCCTGGAAACATACCTTCAAGTGAATTGTGTGAATGTGTGTTTATAGTTCTTTGCATCTAGTTAAATACAGTGAAACTTACATAAGCCAAAAACTGAATGGATTAAAAAAAATAACTTAAAGTTGTATTTCAAATTTTACATTTTGTCATATTAAAGACTGATTATCTGGGTTTCCACTGATGGTTGGACTTGATAAAATATGTCTTGAACAGGCATTTTTTTTTTTTTTTTTTTTTTGAGAAAAAGCATTTAATATTGATTTTCTTACATTAGTATGTATTTTTAACTGTGAAGTTTGTGCATTTAAAAATTGTAATGACATGCAGATTATTATATTTTCATTTATTTCCAATTTCATTAAAAGTATTTTTTTACAATTTACTGCCTGATTTTATACATTATATGTATGAGTAATAATAATTATTGTAAATATGCTATGTAACTTATATTGTGATCTTTATATTGAAACAACTTATATATTATGTATGTATGAGTCATGCATCAACTCATGGCAATTTAAATTGTATTGTTTGTAAGAAATTAATGATAATAAGATGATAAAATTAATCAAAACTGTAAGATATACAGTTAAAAGGTACTATTCTATTTTCGGAACCAGATTTTGTATGGATGGATGGATGTATTCATGTTATGTGTGTGTATGCACACACACTTAGACACACGTGCATAGGCCCACTAGTGGCAGAGTGGTAAAATCTTTGAACACTGGATTCGAATATGGGCAAATTCTTTGGCTTCATGGGCGTTTTCGTAGTTTTCCCCATTTGTAAAGTGTATACCAGCCACTTTTGTTTAGAAAGTCCTCCACAAAGGCATCCCTTCCCACAGGCAGATAGACCTAGTGTACTTTGCCATACTAAACTAAAATGAAACCCAAACCACTCGTGGATACATACATTACATGTCTGAATCCTGTCCCGATAACAGAAAAGTACCGGTTAAAATTGGGCTTTTAAAGATATGTGAAAAGAGTTTTGAATTAAAATCCAGACTATAATTTCATTATCTTGTAATAAATACATTGGACTTAAGATTGCACTGTAACTATTTAATATGAGTTCCACTAAGCTGTCAATAATGCTTTACATTAAG